CCAGCAACACCCCCACTCCTCCCCTTCGTCCCCTGCCCCCCCCCCCCCCCCCCCCCCCCGGAAGCCTCCCCTGGGCTGCCCTGTGAGCTCAATGTGCAGGGGTGCACTGACAGGTGAGCCGCAGCCCCCATCAGGGAGCACCCCCAATCCCCATCTCCCTGTCCCCAGAGGAGCCCTATCTGCAAGGAGCTTCATCCCTTCAGGGGGAACCTTGCCCCTGGGATTCTTGGCACCAGCTTCCCTCAGCGCTGCCAGGCCCTGGCCCCAGCCTATGAGAGGCCAGTCAGTGCTGGGAACCCTTGAGAGAGTGGTGCCAGGGCAGGGCGGTGGGGGTGGTTGGGGGGGGGGGCAGGGGACGAAGGGGAGGAGTGGGGGTGTTGCTGGGGGGCCAGGGGTTGTACTGATGGGTGGCGAACGGGGCATCGAGCTAACTGTGCCTGTGACCCTGCAGCTCCTGCTTCAACGGCGGCACCTGCCTGGACGGGGTGAACTCCTACACGTGCCGCTGCCGCGCCGGCTTCACGGGCACCCACTGCCAGCATGAGATCGATGAGTGCCAGTCCCAGCCCTGCCTCAATGGGGGCATCTGCCTGGACGGCGTGGAGTCCTACCGCTGCACCTGCCCCCAGGGCTACACGGGTGCCCAGTGCCAGGTGAGCCCTGCCCCGGGGTGGGCGGTGGCATGGCGGGGAGGGGCAAGGACACAAAGTCCCAGCGTCTGGGGAAGGTGAACATGAGGCCTGGCATTGTCGGGGGAGCCTGGCCTCGGGCAGGGGAGGAATCCAACACCCCAGTGCGGTGGGGGGTGGGAGGCAGGGGCCAGGGCCTGGCCTCAGGGGAGGGGAGGAATCCAACACCCAAGTGTGGTGGGGGGCGGGGACCTGGCATTGCCGGAGCCCAGCCAGGGCTGTATTGGTTCCCCAGGTCGCGTCCCCCCAGAGTACATTGTCCCCTAACTCCCCTCTCTTGCAGACCCTGGTGGACTGGTGCAGGCGCTCACCCTGCCAGAATGGGGGCCGCTGCGTGCAGACGGGCACGGCCCTGACCTGTGAGTGCCCGGGGGGCTGGACCGGCCGCTACTGTGACATTCCCAACGTTTCCTGCGAGGTGGTGGCAGCTCATCGAGGTGAGGGCACTCCTGGGCAGGACTGACCCCCACTGGTCCCTGCCAGGCTGGGCTGGGAGGGGTCTGTCCTTGGCAGGCGCTGCCCTCGCTCAGGGATCTGGGTCTCCAGTGCCCTCGAAAGATGTGAGGGGAGTTGGGGGCCCATAGGGCAGCTATTGGGTGGAGCTGTCAGCTCAGGTATAGCCTGGCCCCTGCCCTGCCCTGCCCCCACTGGGCCCTTCTGTCCCAGCCACACCTGCTCCAGCAATGCTCTTGGTACCCCTACAGCTATCCCCAGCTCTGGGAGGGAAGGGGTGGGGTCTAGTGGTTAGAGCGGGGGGAGCTGTGAGTCAGGACTCCTGGGTTCTATCCCCAGCTCGGGGGGGGAGGTCTAGTGGTTAGAGCAGGGGGGGCTGACAGCCAGAGTCCCTCTCCTCTCTGTGTCATGGTTTCCCCTGTCGGAGCTGTGCTGGGGCTGTGGGCCAGGCACAAGGCATCACAGTCTCTGTCTGTCTGTCTGTCTGTCTGTCTGTCTGGGGCAGGGGTCTCCAAGGAACAGGTGTGTCACTACCGGGGCCAGTGCGTCGACGCTGGCAACACCCACTACTGCCTGTGCAAGGAAGGCTACACAGGCAGCTACTGTGAGAGCGAGGTTAACCCCTGCCAGCCCAACCCCTGCCAGCACGGTGCCTCCTGCCACAGCTTCATAGGCAGCTACGACTGTGAGGTGAGCCCCAGGGACGGGGGCTGCACGAAGGGGCTCCAGGCGCTGCCACCGGCGCTAGCCAGGCTGCTGGGGCTGGGGAGCTGCAGGAGTTGTGCGCCCCCCGCCTGGCGAGGACGGCTGGGCCAAGGGGATACCGAGCAAGCCACATTCTGATGGGCTCACCTCGGAGCAGAGCAGCCAAGACTGGTCTGAGCATGAGCCTGGGAGCCCGGACTCCTGGGGTCTGGCTCTGGCTCTGGGAAGGGAGCAGGGTCTAGTGGTTGGAACAGGAGGGCTGGGAGCCAAGATGTCTGGGTTCTATTCCCGGCTCTGGAAGGGCAGTGGGGTCTAGTGGTTGCAATGGGGGCCTGGGAGCCACGACTCCTGGGTTCTCTCCCTGGCTCTGTTGACAGTTTGTGCTGTGGGGTGAGTCCTTCTCCTCCCCCCGGTGGTGCTCCTTGGCCCCCCACAGCAGTGGAGAAGGGTTGGTGGTGGCAGCATGAGGCCTTGTTTAACCCCTCTGTGGCTGGAGGGGGTGGAGCTGAGGGGCTTGGCAGCCCTGAGGTGGCGCCCTCAGGAGCGGAGCTGGGGCCCGGGCCCTGACTGGGCTGTGTCTGTCTCTCCCTGCAGTGCCCACCGGGGTTCGAGGGCAAGAACTGCGAGTACGACATCGACGAGTGCCAGTCCCACCCCTGCCAGAATGGAGGCTCCTGCATCGACCTCATCGGGCGCTACATCTGCTCCTGCCCGCCGGGAACCCTGGGTAAGGCCAAGCCGGGCTAGTGGCCAGGCACCGTGGGGGGCGATGGGAGGCAGGTTACTGGGGGAGGGGGCGGCTCTGGTTACTCCCAGGAGGGAGGGTACCTGTGGGACGGGGGCCCGGGTGGGGGGCGGGGACCTGGTTTCGTGGGGGGGCCAGATCCCCACATGATGGGGTGGTTGGGGTGCTCTGGTTATGCCGGGGGCTGGAAGGTCTCTGCCCCCTGTCCCCCAGGCGTCCTGTGCGAGATCAACGAGGACGACTGCGCCGCGAGCTCTGGCAGCCGGGCACCCAAGTGCCTGAACAATGGGACGTGCGTGGACCGGGTGGGTGGCTACCGCTGCAACTGCCCCCCAGGCTACACGGGCGAGCGCTGCGAGGGCGACATCAACGAGTGCCTGGCCAAGCCCTGCCTGCCCCAACGCACGCTGGACTGCGTGCAGGGTGCCAACGACTTCCACTGCCTGTGCAAGCCGGGCTACACGGGTGAGTGTGCCGAGGGTTGGGGCTACACCCAGGCAAGGGGCGGGGCTTCATGGGGCTTTTACACCAGGGGCACTGGGGTACATGTCAATGGGGTGCACTCAGTGCAGGGTGGGAGAAGGGGAAACCCCTGGTGGGGGGGGACTCTCTAGGCTTGCGGTCCGGCTGGCACAGGGAGGCTGGAGCTCTGTGCACCCACGAGGGGCTGAGCTGTGGGAAGGTGGCGGTGCTGGGAGCAGTGCTGGAGGTGGGGTGGGGGGCAGCTCCCCTCTCCCTGGACTCTCCATGACGCCTCCCTGGGCCCCTGCCCCCACCCCCACCCCCAGGCCGGCGCTGCCAGAACATAGTGAACACGTGCGAGTCCCAGCCCTGCCAGAACGGTGGTCAGTGCAAGATGACGGTGAACACGCCGCTGGGCTACACCTGCCGCTGCCCCCCGGTGAGTGTCCCGCGTGGGAAGGTGCAGGGCGCTGGGCTCGGGCCAGCTGGGGGCCTGCCCTTGGCCGTGCACAGTCTGGAGTCTTCCAGGCCCAGAGGGGATGGGGCTGGGGGCCTGCTCCGCCATTCCAGTCCTGGAGCTGCAGGATGGGCTCTGATCTGAAGAGGGGCATCTTGGTTCTGGTGCTGCAGGGGAGGGTTTAGGTGTTGGTCCTGGTGCCTCGGGGGAGCAGGCTGGTCCTGCTGTGGGGGAGGGTTCCCATGTCATGGGGGGGGGCAGGGGCAGTTTCCATGGCACTTGAGGATGGGGTGGGGGAGGGTTCCCATGGCACCTGGGGGGTGGATAATCGGCTGAACGTGAGCGCCCAGTGCAACGCTGTGGCCCAAGGAGCTAACACAAGCCTGGGATGCCCAGACGGGCATAGAGAGGTTCTTACCTTGTACCTGGCACTAGTGCAGCTGCTGCTGGTGCCCAGTGCTGGTCCCACAGTGAGGATCAGAGGGGAGCCCCGAGAATGGCGGAAGGATCCGAAGAGCAAGGAGTTCGAGCAGTTCAGCTTCCCAAAGGGAAAGGGGCAAGGGAGTGGAGCCCAGGCTGGGCTCCTGGGCCTAGCGGCTGAGGTGTGATGTGATGTAGCAGCTGGGAGCTGGACACGTTCAGACTGGAAACAGCCCCTGGAACGGGCCAGCAAGGGAAGGGCTGGGCTCTCCGCCACGGGCCATTTGCAGTGGAGTTGGGCTGTGGGTCTAGCTGCTCTGCGCTTGGTCACGCAGGAGTTAGTTCAGACCTGTGATATACACACCAGGTGGAGAGGCCTGTTCTGGTCTGGGTCCTGATGCTGCTGGATGAGGCGATCCTGGTTCTGGGTCAGTTCTGGTCCGGGTCCCGGCGCTGCTGGGCAAGCGGGAGGTGGTTCTGGCCTGTGGCCTGGTCCCGGTGCCATCTCTCTCACCCTCTTTCCTGCCCCTTCCCAGAACTATTCCGGGCCCAACTGTGAGCGAAGCGTGCTGTCATGTCGGGAGCTCGCCTGCTTCAACGGGGGCAGCTGCCAGCACACAGCACTGGGTGCCCGCTGCTCCTGCCTGCCGGGCTTCACTGGCTCCGACTGCCGCCTGCGGGCCAACAGCAGCTGCACCGGTGCGTCCTGCCTCAGCGGGGGCACCTGCATAGAGATGTCCTGGCCTCCCCACTTCCAGTGCCTCTGCCCCAGTGGCTTCTCCGGCCTGCACTGCGAGCAGAAGCTCACCCTGGAGCTGCAGTGCCAGCAGGAGGAGTGCGCTGCCAAGGCCGGAGATTCCTACTGCGACAAGGAGTGCAACAGCCCTGCCTGCAAGTGGGACGGGGGCGACTGCTCCCTGCTGGTGGGTGACCCCTGGCAGCAGTGTGAGGAGCGCCAGTGCTGGCAGTTGTTCAACAACAGCCAGTGCGACGAGGACTGCAACACGGCCGCGTGCCTCTACGACAACTTCGACTGCAAGAGCCGCGACCGCAGCTGCAAGTAAGGGGGGCGCTGGGCCGGGGGGGCAGGCCAATGGGCTGGGGAGGTGCTGCCCCTGGGGGGGGACTCTACACAGGGTGCTCTCCCTTCAGAGTCCGCACTTGCCCCAGTGTGGTGCTGGGGGGCGCTCTCCCCCCACAGCGTGGTAAGTGTGCGCTGTGCACCTGGGGGTGGTGTCTTGTGGAGGACACGTGAAAGTGAGGCCCTGGGCAGTCGTGCCCAGTGCAGATGCCATGGCTTTTGCCAGGGTTGAGGCTTTAATCCTGGTGCTGTGCTCAGGTGGGGCACGGGGGCTGTTTATACAGGGACCCCTCACCCAGTTGAGGTGCAGGCCCCTCCGGACTCAGGTGCAGAGGATGTTTATACTGGGACCCCTCACCTGGCTCTGGGGTGGAGCGCGGGGCTGCGGTAGCTACATCTCACCGCTGGCCAAAGATGGCTGTGGGCACTGGAGCCATGTCCAAGATGTTTCTCACTGTGTGATGCAGTCTCTGCTGCAGGAGCCCAGTGACCCAGGTGCCCTGGGGTGCCCAGTAGGACGGAGGGGGGCTGGCCAGAACAGGGTAGGGCTGGGGGCTGGGTGGGGCTGTGCGCTGACCATGCCCTCCTCCCCCCCCCCCCAGCCCCGTGTATGAGAAGTACTGCTCGGACCACTTCGCCGACGGGCAGTGCGACCAGGGCTGCAACAATGAGGAGTGTGGCTGGGACGGGCTGGACTGCGCCCGCGAGATGCCGGAGCACCTGGCCAGCGGCGTGCTGGTCATCACCGTGCTGCTGCCCCCCGACGAGCTGCGCAGGACCAGCACCACCTTCCTGCAGAAGCTGAGCGCCATCCTGCGCACCTCGTTGCGCTTCCGCCTCGACAGGGACGGCAACTATATGATTGAGCCCTTCTACCGGCCCAGCCGCCTGCGCCGCCGTGAGCTGGGCCGGGAGGTCATTGGGTGAGCTGCGGGCTGCAGCCGGGGGGGTGGAGGCGCAGCTCCACGGGCCGCGGCCATGGGGAGTGGGGGGGAGATGCGGCTGCAGGGAGTGGCAGGGAGATGTGGGCCACAGCCAGGAGGTGGCGGGAGAGACAGCCCTGTGGGCCACAGCCATGGGGATTCGGGGTGAGACGCAGTCCTGTGGGCCACAGCCGGGGGGTGGGGGAGAGAGACAGCCCTGTGAGCCACGGGGGGGGGGGGGGGGGGGGAAGATGCAGCCCCATGGGCTGCAGTGGGAGAGGGAGCCAAGAGCTTTGGGGGGCTGGTACAGGGGGCTGGTGCCAGGGTGGGGCTGCTTAGCGCTTTGTGGGGCTGGCACTGGGAGTAGGAGCCAGTGCCAGCAGAGGGAGCCAGGCCTGGGGCAGGCACTAGGAAGTTGTCTGTTGACTGGCACCACGACACAGCCCTTTGCTCCCAGAGATGCCACGCAGCTGCCTTCAATCAGCGATCTGGTTCGCCGCCCGCTCTGATGCGGGACTTGGGGTGGCTCAGCCGGTGCCTGTCACCCGCTCCCTGTGCTCTCAGACGGCAGCAAGGGCTCTGGGGGCAGCATCCAGGGGCCTTGCCTCTTGCCCGGCCCTGGGACCCAGAAGGGAGTGGGTAGGGACAGGGAGAGCACAACGGTGCTAAGCAGCTGCTGGCAGCCTGGCAGAGACCACGTGGTTCATGGGACCAAACTCCCGCTGCCGGGGCCATGCCTGCTCTGGGACGTGCACAGCCCTTGCTGCAGGGAGTGCTGAACCAGCCCTGTCCCAGGGCTCCATGTGGGGCAAGGGGTGCCCAGGCCCCTACAGTCTGGGGCTTGGCGCCACTGTGGGCCAGGCCACACTGGTAACTGTCCCCCTCCCTGCCCCAGCTCCGTGGTCACTCTGGAGATTGACAACCGCCTCTGCGTCCAGGCCTCAGACAAGTGCTTCCCTGACGCGCGCAGCGCGGCCGACTACCTGGCTGCACTGGCCGCTGTCGAGCGCCTGGAGTTCCCCTACCCCATCAAGGCTGTGCACAGTGAGTGCAGGTGGGGCCGGGGCCAAGGGGTGGAGTTTGAGGGCAGGGCTCTTAAGAGGCAGTGGGGTGAGTGGGAGAGGTGGGGTGAGTGAAAGGGGGCGGGGTATTGGGAGGGGGCGGAGTGAGTGGGAGCAGTGGAGTCTCAGGATGGGGTGGGATGAGTGGGGGCGGGGTATCAAGAGGCAGGGTCTGACTCCCGTTGTAGGACTCATGAATGAAATTGTTTTTAATTGTTTACTTTATTAATGTAACTTTATAAGTAAAGTTTTATGAATGAAACAATATTCATTCATAAAACCGGTTACCCCAATAACTGGCTAATTAACAGTTAAGATGCTTGTTAAGAGCCATAACTGTTCAGTCAGCTGCCTTTGTAAGTTTCACTATCAATCCAATTCCTGCTTAAATCACGGAGACTTGCACTGTTTCAGTATTGTAATTTCTGTTCACCATTTATTACACTTGTCTACAGTGTAACTTCTGTTCACTGTTTGCCATCCATTATACTTGTCTATACTGTAACTTCTGTTCACTGTTTGCCATATTGTAATTCAAACCCCATTTTAAAACGCTTACTCCATTTTGTAAGGGCTTGCTGCAACCTTCATTTCTGCAAACCCTGCTGTAATCTTATTAGTTTAGTTTAGATGTGTGAATGAGGTATGTATGAATGATGGAATCAGCCTCCAGCCCCAGCCTGTCCTGATTAAATAGAGTTCAAACACCAACGGCTGAAGATGCAGACAAGAGCCTTAACAAAGTAAGAAGAATCCACCCTAAAAAGAAAAGGTACAATAGAAGGAAGATCAACCCGGGTCGGAGGCTGAAAGTCATGTCTGCAATTGACGGGTGATCAATCACCAAACCCAGAGGCAGCGTGACACAGCAAGACCTATAGACTCTGGATTCAAACTAAAGCCTACAAAAAGGATGGGTGAGATGGAAAACTTTGGAAGAGGGTAACATTCTGCTGCCAACATGGAAGGGCATCGGTGCATGCCCAACAGAGACCCAGCTCGCCCTTGTGCCCGGCTTTCCTGGCCAGTTAGCCGCCACAAGCTACGAACCCAAGCTGCAAACTCAAGCCACAGACTCAAGCAGGACTGGTAACTATGCAGCAGCTGCAGGACATCTGATGGATGTGTGTGTGTGTGTGTGTGTGTGTGTGTGTAGAGGTATTAGGTATAATGTGTGTGTATAAGGATTAAGATCTTAGTTATTGGTCATAAATCAAATTGTTATCATAATAAATGTGGCATCTTTATCTTGTCCCCTTTAATAAGATCCTGCTAGTTTTTATTGGTATAACATCGTCCACTCCTGCAGGTGACAAGCTGCAGCCGAAGCCCCCGGACTCCGTGCCCCTGGTGCCCCTGGTAGTGGTGGCAGCGGCCGTGATCCTCCTGGTGATCCTGGTGCTGGGGGTGCTGGTGGCGCGGCGGAAGCGGGAGCACAGCACGCTCTGGTTCCCGGAGGGCTTCAGCCTGAAGAAGGAGAACAGCAACAAGAACCGGCGGGAGCCTGTGGGCCAGGACGCCTTGGGCATGAAGTACGGGACTTGCCCTCGTGGGGCCAAGCCCACATCCTGCTCCCTACACCCAGGCCTGGAGCCCGGGGGATCCCCACTCTCTGCAGCAGCATGGGGGATTTTACCTGCTGCAGGCCCGCACCACCACCAGGGGGCACCGTGCAGACCGTCTCTGCCTGCACGCCCCACAGCTGCCCAGTGCCTTGTGCAGGGGGGATGTCCTAGGAGTGGCCCCCTGAAGTCCTGGGTGGGTGGGGCGGAAGGCAGGGGCTGCGTGGCAGGGGCTGGGGTCTAAGCTCTGGGCTTCCCTCTAGGAACATCAGCAAAGGGGAAAGCCTGATGGGGGAACACTCAGATGACTGGATGGATGCAGAGTGCCCGGAGGCCAAGAGACTCAAGGTACCAACACCTGTGGACCAGCAGCGAGCCCTGGCTTGCTGGGGGCCAGATGGGTGATGGGCGCTGGGCTCGGTGATGTGGGGGAAGAGGGGTGTGGGGCTCAGTGACGTGCCGGGGTGGGGGTGTCCTGATGAATTCCAGGCGCTGCACTGAGCCCCTTGCTCGGAGCCACATGGGGTCATAACCCAAATCCCACCTTGGAGAGGTGGAGGGGGCGGGGGAATGGGAGCCCCCCGGCAGGGCTGGGACAGGATCTACCAGCTCCATGATTGGTTGTGCTCTCCCGCAGGTGGAGGAGCCGGGCGGGGACTCAGAGGACCCTGTGGACTGCCGCCAGTGGACACAGCATCACCTGGTGGCGGCCGACATCCGCATGCCGCCATCCATGGCCCTGACACCACCCCAGGGCGAGTTCGACACCGACTGCATGGACGTCAATGTCAGGGGGCCAGGTAAGGGGGGATGGCTCCATCTCAGGGACTACAGCTCCCAGCATGCAGTGCAGGCATGCTGCACCCTGGGAGAAGTAGCATCACTGAGGAACTTTGAGCGGAGTAGCAGCTCCCCTGCCTATGCAGCTGACCACGAGTCCCAGCATGCACCACTGCCCCAGTTCGACCACACAGCATGCTGGGAGTTATGGTCTCTCATGCTGGAGCCCCTGGGGCAGCGCCCAGTTAACCCCTTGGTGGTGGCTCTCCTTGCAGATGGCTTCACTCCGCTCATGCTGGCCTCGTTCTGCGGGGGCGGTGTGGAGACCGATCTGGCCGAGGAGGATGAGGCTGATGACTCCTCAGCCAACATCATCTCGGACCTCATCTGCCAGGGCGCCAACTTGAGCGCCCAGACGGACCGCACAGGTGAGACTGCGCTGCACTTGGCTGCCCGCTACGCCCGGGCCGACGCCGCCAAGCGCCTGCTGGACGCCGGTGCTGACACCAACGCCCAGGACAACACGGGCCGCACGCCACTGCACGCCGCGGTGACCGCCGACGCCCAGGGCGTCTTCCAGGTGAGACCCCATCTCCCCCCCCCCATGATGCCGACGCCCAGGGCATCTTCCAGGTGAGACCCCATCCCCCACCCACCCTGCGGTGACCACCAATGCCCAGGGCATCTTCCAGGTGAGCTCCTGCCTTCCCTCACCCACCTGGGAGAGGCCCCAGTTGCTCACTCTCCACCCCAGAGCTCCCCCACGCTGTTGTCTTCCACAGGAGGGCCCCCCCCCCATCCTGGGCAAAGCCCCTGGGCAACCCTGCCCTTGCAAAACACCCCCCTGGAGAGCTCCCCCTCTGCCCACACTGGGAGGGCTCCGAGGGCCCCTGGCTGTGCCCATGCTGGGAGAACTGGGCTGGGCAGGGTTTCCTCGGCTGCGGCTCACACTTGCCCTGCCCGGCAGATCCTGATCCGGAACCGCTCCACGGACCTGGATGCCCGCATGGTGGATGGCTCCACGGCACTGATCCTGGCTGCCCGGCTGGCCGTGGAGGGGATGGTGGAGGAGCTCATAGCCTGCCATGCAGATGTCAACGCCGTAGATGAGCTGGGTATGGGGCGGCTTCCTGCCATCGGGGGTCTCTGCTGAGGCCCGCCTCCAGCTTCCCCTGGGGAAGGGCCTGGCTGTGGGTATCAGGGCTCAGCGACATGGGGGGGCACTGCCAACCCGTGAGGATTTGGGAGGGGCTGTGCAGGGGGAGGAGGCCAGGGCTGGGCTAGCAGGGGGCTGCGGGTTGGGACTGAGGGGCACCGGCAGAGGTGTGAGGGGCGAGGGGGAGCCCAGGGCTGGGCTAGCAGGGCTGCAGGTCAGAACTGAGGGGCAGTGGGGGGATGGACCAGCGGAGCGCCCCCCCTCACGGCTCGGCTCGGCTCCCCCAGGTAAATCTGCACTGCACTGGGCCGCGGCCGTGAACAACGTGGAGGCCACAATCGCGCTGCTGAAGAACGGGGCCAACAAGGACATGCAGGACAGCAAGGTGAGCAGCGGGCGGGATGGGCAGGCGAGCAAGGCTTGGCTGTCATTCACCCCGCAGGCCCTGCCCACAACGGGGGCCCCCACTGTGCCTTCCTCCCGGAACCTCTGGGCCGAGCACCAGGACGTGCTGCTCCTGTGCTGGGGAGGGGGAGCCCTGTCTGCCCAGGGCCCAACCCTGGCTCTAAAGCCCCAGCACAGAGGGCTGTGGGCATCTCCCACCCCTGCCCTGGCGTTCCCAGTACTTCAGGGATGGGGGCAGCCCCCTCAGCACAGTCTGAGCCCCGCTGTTGTCCCCCCCTTTCCCCCAGGAGGAGACCCCACTGTTCCTGGCCGCTCGGGAGGGCAGCTACGAGGCAGCCAAGATCCTGCTGGATCACTTTGCCAACCGGGAGATCACAGACCACATGGACCGGCTGCCGCGGGACATAGCCCAGGAGCGGATGCACCACGACATTGTGCGCCTGCTGGACGAGTACAACACGGTGCGCAGCCCGCAGGGGGCGCTGCCCCCCGGCCACACCATGTCCCCACTTATGTGCCCACCCAACAGCTTCCTGCCCAGCCTCAAGCCCACCCCGCAGGGCAAGAAGAGCCGGCGGCCCAGCGCCAAGAACACGGCAGGGGCAGGTGGCAGCGCCAGCCTGGCCAAGGAGGCCAAGGGGCGGAGCAAGAAGCTGAGCTTGGAGTGCCAGGGCTCCCTGCTGGAGAGCTCAGTCACCCTGTCGCCCGTCGACTCGCTGGACTCTCCCTATGTGGCCAACCCCACCTCGCCCGTCCTGGCCTCGCCCGGCGTCTTCCACCCAGCCAGCTCCTCCATGTCGGTGGGCTCCACGCCCATGGTGCATGGCCTGATGGATGGGCCCTTTGCCGTCAGCCTGGCGCGGCTCAGCGACCTGGGCGAGGTGGCATCGGCCCAAAGCACCATCCTCTCCATGAACCGGGTCTCCATGCCTTCGCTGCCGCGCCAGCCCGGCTGCGTGGGGCTCAGCCTGGGCATGGTGAGCCCAGTGGCGGTGCCCTTCGACTGGCACACCCGTGTCCCCACCTCCCAGTGCAACCCAGTCATCGGGGTGGTGCATCCGGCTGCCTCCCACCCCAACCTGCACCAGGCGGCCCAGCCCTTCCCGCAGGGGCTGCTGCTGCCCAACCACCTGGCCATGGTGCACAGCTCCCAGGTGCTGGCTGCCCCCAGCCCTGCCAAGGAGCAGCCCCCACCGGCGCCCACCCCTGG